TCTGTGGCCCTCATAAAAGCCTCTTCCGCAGGGACCCTCAGGCTCCCTGGCCGAAATCTGATAAGGGGCCTCTTTGTTGGAACTGTCAGTTTCCTTTATTGAGGAGGGAACTGGAGACCAGTGGCATTTCTTGGGGTACAGATAAGACCCTGGATTCCTGTCAGAAGGAACATGATTAATTGCCCTGCCTGTGGCTCCTGCTTTGATAGCAGTGAGTGACAGCCCCCAGGCCTCCCCGTCAGGTGCTCACACCCCTCCCAGAGGTGTGTTGGGACTTAGAAGCTCAGCCTCCTGCTGGGCCAGCACCAGTGTCGTGTGTGTCTCCCCCCCCCCCACCCCCAGCTCTCTGACAGGCTGTTCGCCTCCTCCCGCTGCTAGATGTCTCTGCGTTGAATATGGACGCAGACCTGGCCCCTGTCAGGTGAGGGGGTGCCTCCCTCCAGCCCAGGCGGGGAAGGAGCCATTGCTTAGGGACTTGGACACTGCAGCCCCTGGCCAAACCCAAGCATGTGTTTCCTGCTCACTCCATACCATCCTGTCATTCAGGCAAACTCTTCAAGCCACGTTATCCTGTCTGGTGATCATACTCAACCAGGGGCCGGAGAGAGAGCACAGTGGGTAGGGCACTTGCCTTGCATGTGGCCAACCTGGGTTCAATCCCTGGCACCCCAATGTTGTCCCGTGAGCACAGAGACAGGAGTCAGCCCTGTCCCAGAAACCGAAAGAATAATCCATAACTGTTTACATTCCTAGGTCTGTAAGACTTTGGAAGTGAAACACAGATCAAGGGCCGCATTTCACAGATGGGAAAACCTGTAGTTTGCTATCTTGGTTCTTGTCTGAGCGGATAAGGTGGAAAGGTGTTCCCCATTCTCTCTTCAGAGTTGAGCTGTCTTGCTCTGGGGCACGGAGATGGGCCGGTCTGTAGGGAGCTGGGGAGTGTAGCCGGGGCCGTCAGCCCTGCCTGTGGGTAACTCGGGGCAGCCATCCCCAGGCTGGCGCTCAGCCCAGCCACACCAGCCACAGCCTGGCTGCCCACAGAACCGAGGGCCGCCACAGGGAGCCACTTCCCCATTCAGAGAGGGCTGTCACAGGCAGGAGCACGCTTGGTGCAGCCTCCCCCACCTGCCACCCAGGGTGTTGTGGCAGTGCCTGCTGCCTGCAGGTGCTGGAGAAAGGCCCCTTTTGGGTTAGTATCCCAGCCTTGAACTTGGATGCCACTTTGCGTCCTTCCTGGGCTTCTCGCGGCGGCCCTGCCTCTGTCTCCCTGGTCTTAAGGTCTCCACCCAGTGTGGACGTGTCCATGCAGCTTGACAGAGGTGGGACTATAATGATACCTCCACAGATGTGATGCTGGAGATCGCCTCACAGTCCATCTCAAATGACTGGACACAGAGTGTGGGGCTGGTGCAGAGTGAATTGAGTATTTCTTTCCAGGGATTTGCCTCCGGGGGCCATTCAAGCCAGACCCCAAGCCTGTAGTGCCACCTCCTCAGGCAGACGGTCAGCCTCCTCGTACAGCCTGGTCACAGCACCCCGTGTCCCGTGCTGGCCAAAGCTGACCACAGTGATGGCAGTCACTACTCTGAACACTTTCTTCTGACAAGTCGGCTTCCCGAGTGACGCCCTTGCTGGCTGCTGGCCCTCAGAGGTGATGTCCCCTGGGTCCCCTGCACCAGCTCTGTGCCCAGCTCTGCCCGGGTGCCCATAGCTCAGCCGCCTTCCCCTCCGGGACACTGTTTCCCAGTCCCTTTGGCCTCTTGGGTGAAGCCAGAGTTTCCTTCTGGAACTCCCCAGTCCTCCAGCCCTCCTCGTGTGGAACCTGGAAGCAAAACCGTCAGCCACTCTGACCTCAGTTTCCAGTAAGCTTAGTGAGAGTCAGGGCTTGGGGAAGCAGCCAACCCTGAGGAGAGGTGGGACTCTGCTTGGAGCCCCAGATGCACACGACACATTACGGCTCTGGCAGGCACACCAGAATAATCACACTGAAGATGCCCAGCTGCATTGTCTCTGAGAAGCGTTTTGTAATATCCATGCGGCAATTTTGATTTACTAAGTATTATGGTTACTGTGTCCCTGCCTTCACTACACTTCCAGCCCCCCTGGGCTCCCAGACAACATGCATGAAACACTAGGGAACGATCATCTGCTAATCTCATCAGTGGATAACAATAATAAAATAAAAATAAATAATAGAAACTGTATAACGATTCTGAGTGGGAAGGAATCCTCCTAGACTGCGCAGGTTATAAAATTCGTCCTGAGCTCGAGAGATAGTACCAGGGCCAAGGCATATGGCTGGCCTCAATTCAGTCCCCAGTATAAGGTCCTCCGAGCAGGCCCTGTATGGAGTGACCCCTGAGCATAGAGCACACCCCCTCAAAAAAAAAATTCTTCCTTTGGGGATTAAATGTGGAAGGCTGTTGTGGAGGGTGGAGCCTGCATTTGAGTGGAAGAAGGCAGACAGAGAGGAACACTTAAGGTTTGGGGCCGAGGGAGGTCGGGGGAGAAGGCGGGTGGAAGGGCCAGTGAGCTGAGGCCGCGAAGTGCCCCGGCCCGCGAGACTAGTCATACGTGGATAACCGGGAGAGGGTGCATGAGTGGAAAAAAGAGAGAGAGAGAAGAATGGGAGCAAGTCAAGACTCTGATCAAGCTCCAGATTTATTTCTCCCAAGCTAGCCTTTTATGATTGATTACATGAGGAAGTGGGCAAAATGCGGAATTAACAAAGCCTGCAGATATTCAATAAATCATGGTGTGAACCCTAATGGTGGGCTCATGGCAGTCATCCCGGGCGTAGCTCAGAAACTTGCACAATGTATTTTAACATTTTGCCAACCAGAGATTAGTTCTTAAATCGCAGGTCAGGCTGTACTGGCATTCTGGCTCCCAGCAGCGAAGGGTGACCCTTGAAGGGTCATGGGGAGGCGGGGTCAGGAGGGTTGGGCTGGGGTGCTGGGCACTGGGAATCTTGGGGTTTATAAAGAAAGGCCCACCTGGTGCTGTAGTGTCTCTCCCGGGGCTCCGCCCTGGGCGCGAATGGAGGGCATGGGCGAGGAGAGGCTATGCGGGTCCTCAAGGGGGGGAGGGGGCGGGAAAGGGGCCCCTCGAGGGAGCCAGTAGGAAAGGAGCTGAAGAAGCAAAAATGAGTAACGGGGAATGGGCAGCCCAGCGGGCGCCAGTGAGCATGATGGGAACACGCCGAGTCAGAAGGGAGCAGGCAGGTGTGAAGGCGGCCTGGAAGTTTCTGGAAACAGGAGTGAGCGCGGCCTGTAGGGGAACCCAGGGCCAGCCACCGTGGGTGCGGGCTTGCCAGGCCTGTGAGTGTGGTTGGGCAGACGGGCCTTCCAGAGGTGGGGGTGTCGACCCCTTCCTGCAGGGAGACCCCCTTCCTGTTGCATTGGGGCTCTCAGCTTCATGACCCGGCTAAGCGCAGGGAGGAGTGTCAGGGGGAAACCAGCAGTCGCTGATGTTTTATCTGTAAATCCTTGTTGTGGTGTTTGGGCCACACGTGCTGGTGCGCAGGGCTCGCTCTTAGAGGGGCTTGGGGGGACCATATGTGGCGGTTGAACCGGTTGGTCGTGTGCAACAGGCAGGCGCCCTTCCCACCGTACGTCCTATCTCTCCAGCCCTCCTGGGATTCTCAGAATCTAAGTCCACGGCCCCTTTGTCCTTCCAAAGATGAGTCGGCTGTGCTGAGAGATAGTCGAGTGGGCAGGGCATTCACAATGCATGCGATCGACCCAGGGTCAGTCCCAGGCACCACATGTCCCCTGAGCACAGAGCCAGGTGTGCCCCCACCCCCCAAACCCCAAAGAAAACAGGGACCAACACTCAGGAGATAGACCCAGCCATCCCGGGCGCTCCCACCCACACAGTAAATGCAGGGGCCGCTAGCCCATGTCAGGATGTGCCCTGCAGGTGCAAGACCCCATCCCCAAGCACCTCTACGTGTCCATGTGTCGTTCCCCCCCCCCCGCCCCCCTGAGCTCTCTCCTCCCTTCCCCCATCCCGGCAGCCGGGAGGGGCTCCTGTAGAAAAAAAAGAAAGTTGGCGAGGCCAGTCTTCCTTGAGGGGCAGAAGCAGAGGAGCCGAGACAAACAGGCCTCTCGGATGGAGCCCTGGGAGGGGCCGCCTGTGTACAGTAAGGGGGGTTACCATCAAAGGCAACAAGTCTCAGAGCCTGCCCCGGACGGTGACCCTTCCCTGTGGAATTCTGCCCTCTGACCCCCAGATCATTAATCCCGGGCCTGCCAAATGACAGTCATCCATCACGCCTCCTGACGAGCTTCCCAGCCCCCGTGAAAGGGCCTGGCCCCGCCCTCCAGCGTCCCCTGGCGCTCATTAGCTGGCCTTCCTGCTCGGTGCCGGGTTTCCTAATCAAGGCCCCCCTGCACCTCACGGCTTCCCTTCGGGCCCAGTGGGCGGAAGCAGCCCTGACCCTCCCTCTCTGAGAGGCCAGGGAAGGGGGAGGAGTGATCAGTGGCCAGAGAATTGTGGAGTGGCCTTTCATCCCCCTGGAGACATGTGTCCAGCGGCTTCTGGGGTGGGGGGGTGGGGGGCAGTACAACAGGGCAATCGCCGCTCTTCCACAGTGGCAGTGCAGAGGGAATGCTGTTCCCTGGGGCCCAGGGCTCTCCAGGGGCGGCGTGGGCAGGGCCTCCCCGTCTCGGGCAGTTGAACGGTTCTGAGGGCGTCAGAGGAGGGAGGTCCAGATCACCAGGAAATACTCTTAAATCTTCCCAGTAGCAAACGCTGAAACCCAGGGTTTTGAGATGATCTGGCCTGGCTCGACCCTCCTGTTGAACACGGGAAGCAGACCCAGAGCGAGCGCTCCTCGGCAGCGCTGCCGGGATAGTGTGGAAGTGGGAGCCGCGCCACACTCTTGGCTGATTCCGGAGTGTATTTCCAACTCGGAAGGAGGCGTCCGCAGCTCTGCTTGGGCAGGTGGACCCTGGCAGCCTGTGTGACGAGCGTCTGTCTCTTTGCTCCGCCCACAGGCACCCCCATCAACCGAATCCCCATCATGGCCAAGCAGATCCTGGACCTGTACATGCTGTACAAGCTGGTGACGGAGAAGGGGGGCCTGGTGGAGATCATCAACAGGAAGATCTGGAGGGAGATCACCAAGGGCCTGAACCTGCCCACCTCCATCACCAGCGCCGCCTTCACCCTGCGGACGCAGTGAGTGGCCTGGGCCCTGGGCTCGAGGAAGAGGGTGACCGGGAGCAGCGGGAGGAAGGAATGCCCTCCCTCGTGCAGTGAGCTCACTCAGACCAGGTTCAAAGGAGGCTCCTCGGTCCCTTCTCTGTGCTCCACTCTGTGATTCTCTCTCCCGGCCGTGTGTGTGTGTGTTACCCTGCTTTGCTGATGACAAAGACGAGTACCAAACGTCAAGGCCGGAGAGATAGAGGAGTGAAGGCGCTTGCTTTGCGTAAGACTGAACCTGATGGGTCCCCCGAGCACAGAGCCAGGATTAGCCCCTGTGCATGCTGCTTGTCGCCCCCAAACCAATACAGAACACACCAACAAAAAACTGCATCTCCGAGCCCAGGGGGCTTGGCGGTGTCTCAGGGGTAGAGCGCAGGTTCACACCTGGCTTCTCACGGAAGTCGGGGCTCTGTCCAGACGCTGTCTGAGCCTGCCCACCTGCCCTTCCTACCTGCTTTCAACTTGCCCAGCAGCAGGAGTCCCGAGAAGCCTGGCCAGACCCCTAGGCCTGGTGCCTGTTTCTGTAGCCTTTCGAGACCATCTCACGGGCAATGGAGGCAGTGAGTCGAGGCACAGTGGATGCTGGCAGGGCGTATCTGACCTGTTGGGAATTGCTGGAAATAGCTCTGTGGAGAGGATAGCATTAGCGACTGACATAGCCTGCAGTGGCACGTCGTGGCCTTGCTGAAAAGTGGAAGGGTCTTATCTGCTGGGCCTAGTCCAGCAGCAGTCGTGGTGAGGTGCTGGCCAGGGCACTAGCTCAGTAGGTCAGGGTGTGGCCTGCAGGAGACCTGGTCCAACCCCTAGGTCCACATTTTCCCCCAGACACTGCCGGGAGCAACGCCTGAGTACTACTAGGTGTTACCCCGAACACCTAGGTGGGGCAGAGCATTCCTTCTCTCGGGGGTCTTTGTGGCGGGGCAGGGATTGTAGTTTGGGGCTCACCTGGCCAGACTCGGGGGCTGATTCTAGCTCGCAGTCCTCAGAGGCTCATTCCCTGCAGTGTTGGGAACCAAACTCTGGGCCCCCTGTCCCCTGTTCTGTCCCTCCAGTTCTTGGGCAGAGAATCCCCTTTTTGGGCAGCACCCCCAGCCTCCAGCAGTGAGGGAAGTAATTCTCTGACCAGCGGGGAGCGGACAGTAGTTCCCAGAGGCAGAAAGTCAGGGCAGACATCACCCCGACTCTCGGGGCTCTGAGAGCATCCTGAGCTGTTTGCGGCCCTGAGAGGCCCAGCACAGCTGGAGTAGTGGTTACAGGCCTGGGTAGGGGCCCAGGGCCGCACTATTCTTCCCCTTCACAGGGCCGCACAGGGCTTTCCAGAGTGGCTGAGAGCGCCCCCTAGGGAGCACTGTGTGCGAGGACAACAGGGGGACTCCACAGCAGATCACGGCAGGGGTAGGGGAGTGGCTTTGGGTTTTTTTCCCTGAGAAGAGGCCAGTTTGCACCAGTTTGAGAGCCCCTGCCTTGGGGGCCCGGCCCGGCTGTGAGCCAGTCTCCCCTTCCCTGCAGGTACATGAAGTACCTCTATGCCTACGAGTGTGAGAAGAAGGCCTTGAGCTCCCCGGCCGAGCTGCAGGCGGCCATCGACGGCAACCGGAGGGAGGGCCGGCGGCCCAGCTACAGCTCCTCACTCTTCGGCTACTCGCCCGCCGCCGCCTCGGCCTCCTCTGCCGCCCGGGCTCCTGCCCTCCTCTCCCCCCCCAAGATCCGCTTCCCCATCCTCGGCCTGGGCGCCGGCGGGGGCAGCAGTGCCAGCAGCCCCCGCATGTCCCCTGCGGCTGCTCTCAGGAAAGGTCTGCGGGGGCCCCGGGGTGGGGGGAGGGCAGGGGGAGGGGAGCTGGGGGCTCGAGTCCACGCCCCCTGCGGGTGGCGTCCAGCTTCGCTTCCTTGGCCAGGCGACGGGGTCCCGGTGACGACGGTGCCAAGCCGCCTGGCCGTGCCCATGGCCCTGGCAGGCCAGCAGGCTGGCAGCCGGACGGCCACGCTGGAGCAGCTGCGGGAGCGGCTGGAGTCGGGGGAGCCCGTCGAGAAGAAGGCGTCGCGGCTGTCGGAGGAGGAACAGCGCCTGGTGCAGCAGACCTTCCAGCGCAGCCTCCTCAGCATGGCGCGGCAGCTGCCCATGAAGATCAGGATCAACGGCAGGGGTGAGGGTTGGCAAGGGCTCAACGGCAGGGGTGAGGGCCCGGGCCGAGGGCACCCCGCAGGCCCTGCAGATCAGAAAGCCAGTGGCAACGGAGCCGGAGCCACAAGCGGCACGTTTTCTCCGGAGTTGGCAGAAAGGAAGCAGCAGCCGCTAGAGCTGGGGACCCCAGGCCCTGACAGCGGCAGCCTTCTCCCCACCAGCCCTTTCATCTGGCAGAAGGGCTCTAGTCCTTGTGCCTGGGGCGTGGCCGGCACAGGGCACAGCAACCAGGTCCCACGGGGATCTGGCAGCTGCATTGAGAGTCCTTCGAGGAGCCAGGCTGGCCTGACCCAGGCTGCCAGTGACCCCCGGGCATTGCTGGCAGGCAGAAGCGAGCCTGTCGGCATTGTGGCCATCCTGCTTTGCTCAGGGGCCCCCCTTCTCCCTGGAACCCCACACTCCATGCCTCCCCCCATCGGCCCCCTTTTTCTTACCATCCCTGTCCTTACCTCAGTCTTCGAACATACACGGGCACGTGCCGGGAAGAACCGAGTATGGGGCTGTGGGGAGGGGGCAGCCAGCCCAGGGCTGTGCTGGGCGTGTGGGAGGGAGAGTGGGGGAGACAGGCAGAGACCCCAGGAGTCTCCAGGCGGCGAGGGTGAGATGGGGCACTGGGTGTCCAGCTAAGGCAGTAGATCTGCGCCCCTACGACCCTGTCCATGTTGCTGGGAGGACGCAGGCGCCTGTTCACAAGGGCCGTCGTGGTGGCTCCAACCAGGGGGGTCATGGTGCTCACACACTTGGCGTTCTCTGGGGGCGTCACACTCGCTCTTTAGCTGGGGCGGTCGCCACACCCCTTTGGTGGCGTCTGCCAGACCCACACACCTTGGTTGCTGGGCTCCTGCATGTATCTGCTCATCAGGGCTCACACCCTTTCTCTTGCACACCTGGCTGCCATGTGCCCAGAAAGCACTCAGACTGACGGGTCCCGCAGACAGCAGAGCTGCCGGGCACACGCTGCTGGGCTCACTGTCGGCACATGCAGTGCATTGGGGATGGAATTCTCTGCTACCCACCGCACCCTCAGGGCTGGCACTTGACTGCTGGGGCTCCTCTGGGCCCAGGGGGAGGAGGAGAGTCAGGTCCTCCGCATCAGGAATGGGCCTGGTTCTTGGGTCACGGGGAAAGTGCCCGTGCTCAGGGCCAGGATGAGACTCAGTCGGTGCTGGGTGCTCAGGGGTGTGGGGAGTGCCGGGGTCCCACGGAAGCGGCCACCTGACAGGCTTCTGCTGCTCGACGGAGAGGTGAGGTCAGGCGGGGAGAGCGGGTGGAGCCAGAAGGGCCACGGGAGGCTCCAACAGGCCCTTGTCCCCTCCTCTCTAGAGGACAGATCGGAGGCCTCGACTGCAGCCCTGAACCTGACCACAGGCAGCATTGGGAGCATCAACATGTCGGTGGACATCGACGGCACCACCTACGCAGGTGAGGCGCCCGCCGGCCCCGGGCGCTCTCAGAGGGCGTGGGTGTCCCGGGCTAGGGTGGGAACGTCCTTTCAGGGGTCTCCAGGATAGTTGCCAACAGGGACCTACCCTCCCTCTTCTCCACCTGCTACTGGCACTCAGGTTGGCCCGTCACTTGGGCAGGTCATACCCCCGGAGAAGGGACAATCGGCTCTGTGCTCTGGGGAAGTGCTACAGCCTAGCATGTATGAGGCCCGGAGCTCAGTCCCCGCCCTGCTCTGCATAGGCACCCCTTCTCAGTGCTGTGTGTCACCCTGCCGTGTGACCCCCAACACTGCTAGATGTGGCCATTTTTTTACAAGTTGGGGGGGGCAGGGGAGGGAGGGAGGGAGAGAGAGCACATGTTGTATCAGAAGGGTGTCCAGTTGCTGAACGCCCAGGTCTCCTTTCTTCAACTCCCGTTCTGTCCCGTTCCTTTTACTGCAATGGGCCGAGCCTGAGCCACAGAAGGAAGCTGGGTGCAGGAGCAGCCCCTGGTCCTGGTGGCAGCCCTCTCCCCTCCTAGCATCCGTTCCTTCAGCATCCTCTCTCCAAAGTCTGGTTTGGCCTCCTGGGTTTTCTTTTTCCCTGGGGCTCGGTTGAGCTTTCCCATGACTTCCAGGCAATCCCTCTGCCCCCCTCGCCCACCTCGAAGCCGCCACGGGCCGTGCTGGCAGTGCCCGGGCTGCAGGGTGCCTGTGCCGACAAGGCAGAGGCCGACGCCCGCCCTTCCCTTGCTACTCCAGGCGTGCTGTTCGCCCAGAAGCCGGTGGTGCACCTCATCGCGGGATCCGCGCCCCAGAGCCTCGGTGGCGGCAGCAGCGGCAGCAGCTCCTCCTCCCACTGCTCGCCGAGTCCTACCTCATCCCGGGGCACCCCCAGTGCAGAGCCCTCCACCAGCTGGTCCCTCTGACGGGCCGTCGGGCTGGGCGCGGCCTCCCACGGCCCCTCTCCTGTCAGGGCGGGAGGACGTGGACGCACAGAATTTACCTCATCTCCCGGAGCCCGTGTCGACGCCACGCGGCCAGACGTGGAGAGTCTGGGTGTGGGTGACTCTCCAGGCTCCACTCAGGTCCTGCTGTACTCTGGGGACAGGACAGGGCAGCGTTGTCCAATCAGGGATTGCCCGGGCGTGCAGCTCCCTCCCAGCCCCCAGGCCGCCTCCGCTCCTGGGCAGTGTATGACAATCGGGAGCCACCAGGGCTGGAGGCCCTCCAGTCCCCTTCCCTTTAATTTATTTCCTGTTTCCCAGGCTCACTGGCCTCTTCCCCCTGCTCAGTACCCCAGACTTTTAATTCCCACGTGGGGCTGCGGGAGCCACGAGCTCCCCTTCAGGGCCCCTCTCTGCTGAGCCTGGGGCGGCCCCCCAGGCCACCTTGCCCGACATGTTTGGGCCCAGGCTGTGGGTCCCTCAGATTCAAGTCTCGATGCGGACTGCAGTTCCTCGGGCCTTCTGGGTCCCTGTTGGGTCGGGGCAGGCCTGGGGCCCGCGCGGCACTGACCCTCCCTCATCCGGCCCCTCCCCCCCAGACCTCACGCTCCCCACTGGCCCTTTTGACCAGCTCTCCCATGAACTGCCCACTTGCCCCCTACCTTCTCCTCCTGGGGCTGTCTCAGCCTCGGCACCCCAAACCTGCCGACATCAGGTTCATTGAAATACCTCAGATTTGTAATTGTCGACGTTTGATTCTTCAGGAAGTATTTGCATCTCTGAAAGCTTTTTTATATGTTTTTGATGACTTTTTTTTTTTATTTTTATTGTTGTAGTACCAAAGAAATGAAAGCAGATCACCCCCAAAACCGAGCAGATAAGATTTGGTACCCCAGCCCCTCCGGCTCTCCCCTGAGGCCCCAGTGAGGGGGGCATGGGGAGCAGGCCCGAGGGCTGACTCAGGGATCCCGGGGGCGGGTGGGGCCGGGACCTGCTCGGGCAGGTGGGGTCTGCATCCCACCCCACTCCTGCAGATGGTCCTGCCCCCTTTCACCAGAGCTGGTCCCTTGCGCCTGGCTCACTCATCTCTGTCTGCAGGGGTGAGGAAGGACCTGGAGTTTCGGGGAGAGCACGGGCTCACCTCCTGTGAGAGGGCCCCCCTGCAGTGCTGTCTGGAAGAACAGGGAGTCCAAAGCTTGAGCACAAAGCATACCTCACCCAGGCCAGCCACCCCGCGGGCACACACTCCCCTCCAGCAGGACCTGCCCTCTGTGGCCTCCATGGCTTCCTGCCACTTCTCCACAGGCAGAGAAGGGCAGCTGGGCCCTGGTGCCAGGGAGGAGCCCGGCTGGCTGGCGCTGGGCCTTCTGAAGGCGTGCCAGACATTTGGCCAGTGTCTGTCTCAGGGGTTTGGTCACGGAGGACGACTCTTCCCACCCGGAAGACACAGAACGCCGAGTATCTGGTCACTGGATCGACCCTCCTGTCCCCAGGCCGCCTGCCCAGCGTCCCGCGCAGGGACAAGAGCTGGGGCCCAGCAGAAAGCCCCTGAGGAGGGGCCCTGGGCCGAGGGGCTGTCGGGAAGCACAGTCCTGGACGCTCCCTTGGAGGCGGCCATCCCCGCCCACGTTCCATGTATTCTAACCAGGAAAAATGTGATAGCACATGGGTAGCCTAGCAGCAGAGAAATACCTCAGTCCTTTCGCAGCAAGTGTCTGTATATGTCGTGGTTGTTTTCTATCTTACGTGTTCTCGAATGTTTATATTTCAATAAACCTCTACCTCTTCACACAGCACGCCTCCTGCTCCTCTCCGTGCAACCAGGAGCGGGAGAGGCGAGAGGACACGGAGGTCTGCTCCTGCCTGCCCCAGCCCACTGGCCCCGGCCTGCTCACTCCCACGGTGTCACCTCAGTGTCCGGGTCCACAGGGGACCATCTTGGCTCAACAGACTCCTTTTTTGGGGTTTCGTTTTGGGGGTCATACCAGAGATGCTAAGAGTTACTCCTGGCTCTGTACTCGGGGATGACTCTTGGCACTTGCTCAGGGGACCATGTGGGATGCCAGGCATCGAACCGGCAAGGCATGCGCCCTACCCACTGAACTATCACTCTGGCACCAACAAACGCCTTTCCAAGCTCCTGCTGGGTCAGACACTAAGGAACAGCATGCTCAGGGGCTCAGAGACTTGTTGGGGAGATGTGATTATCTTGGCAAGCATGGATCCTTGGTGCGACAGGGACCCGGCATGCTTTCTAGGGGAGGTCTGGGAGACTTCGTGGAGTGGTGACATTTAAACTGGAAGAGTCGGATTGCTGACTGGTGACTTGAGGATTCTCTGCAAAGGAAATGATGTGCAGACACATGGCATTAAAGAACCTGGCACCCGGTACTGTGCTCATGCTTCCAGTTGGCAGAGTTGAGGGAGGACAGCTGGGGGAAAGACCAGGGGCCGAGACCAGGAATGATCTCAGGCCCAGCGAGTCGGTGCCTTTGAGCAACATGGCATGTGGGGATGTCCCTACCTGGCAGGGCTCAGGGTGCCATGCTCTGCTGCACCTCAGACCCCAGCTTCCTACACGTGAAGCTCCAGCCTGCTGAGCCCTGACTCCTACCCCTGTTGCTGATACCTGTTAACCGTGACAGCAGCTTTTACAGGGGACTTTTTCGAAGGTGCTCTGGGAGCCAGACAGCCTGAATATCCTAGAACCTGCCCCTGGAGGGCAAATCTGGTTTGGACAAGACCTAAAGAAATGGAAGGTGGGACTGAAGAGATAGCACGGCGGTGGGGCGTTTGCCTTGCACACGGCCGACCCGGGTTCAATTCCCAGCATCCCATATGGTCCCCTGAGCACCGCCAGGAGTAATCCTGAGTGCAGAGCCAGGAGTAACCCCTGTGCGTCGCCAGGTGTGACCCAAAAAGCAAAATAAAAAGGAAGGAAGGTAGAGCACTGGCTGGATGTCATCCCCTTCTCTGGCTGTGTCCACGTTGCCCTCCCCACTCTGCAGGTCAGCGGGCACCTCTTCCCTCTGCCATCCTGAAAATGGGTGATGCTGGGATGGAACCTCTTGCTGATTTCTTTGGATGGGGTGGGGGGTAGTTTGGGGGTCACACCCAACAGTTCTCAGAGCTGTTCTTGGCTCTGCACTTACATCACTCCGGGAGTGCAGAACCAGGAGTAAGTCCTGAGCACCACCAGGTGTGGCCCCAAAACTCAAACGGGAAAAGAAGACTCAAGGACATCTGGGAGTGAGCAGGTAGGGCGTGTGCTCACACATGGCCAACCCAGGGTCCAGCACCTCATAGAGTTCCCCTGCCAGGAGTGAGCCCTGAGCTGGAGGAAGCTTGCACACCTCTGGGTGGGGGTGTGTGGCCAGTTCAAACCCTTGTCTAGTAAATAGGGGCACAGGCACACCTTGGGGCCCAGCAGTTCTCCTCAGCTAGTGCCCACTCCACCGGGTGTGTGTCTTTGCGGAGGGGACAGCGTTGGGGGACCGTTTCCCTATGGGATGGCCCCATTAATGGACACAGGTGTGCGAGTTGCAATTTAAGCTCCACATGAATGAACTCATTTGTCCCTCCACTCGTTTGTAAGATGGGTTGACTATACCCCTTTTACAGAGGAAGAAGCCAAGGCTCAAGTTTCCCTGGCCAGTGAGACCGGAGCTGGGCTGATTACAGCCTGCAGAGTGGCCTCAGACCAAACACTTCCCAGTTTCTCAATGAAGATTTGGCCCACGGTCCCCTGAGACCATTGTTCTAGTTTGCTTCACGAGAGAACAGGAAGGTACTCCAGGGCCCGGACCAACACTGCGCTGGACTGACACGGCTCTCCCTCACCTCCCACCTGCGCTGCCCTCCCTGAGGGCCAGCAGTGACCAAGCAGAGAGGGACATAGGATGGAGAGGCTCCAGGGGTATCCCACGGGACAGGTCTGTAGGATTTCCCGCAAGCTTGGGTCACCCTCTGTGGCACTGTCCTTATAGTTGGAAGGCTCATCGGGGCCAGAGACCTGCAGCGCCCGGGTGGATTTGTGGAGGTTTGGGGGTGCCCAGCCCTGGGGAAGGCTTTCCAGGAGAGCCAAGGGCAGGGCTGGGAGCAGACTCGGGAGGTGCCTGTCATGGGCCCTCGGCTGAGGATTGGGGGACTCAGCCAACCCGCACAGGGCCTGGGGAGATGGCACGTCTCCGCACAGAGGCCCCTTGCTGAGCCCACATTTTCCCATTCCCTTCCGCCCTCCAGTAATTGTGGACTCCTGGCTTATTCCACTGGGAGAAGAAAATGCAGTACGGGACACATTCCAAGTGTTTTGAGTTCAGTCTTTTCCGCCGCAGAGACAACCCTTTGCCCTGAGTCAGGGACCAGAACAGACCCAATGGCGCAGGGAGGCTCAGGCCCAGAGGGGGGCCAGTCTGCTAAGAGACCCACCCTCTGCAGCTGCAGTGAAAGCAGAGAACCTTCTGCAGAAGATGCTGGGGATGTATCGATGGTCCCGGAGGATGTATCTGTCTCTCCTCCCTGCCACGGCTCCCTCCTGCAGAGGGCCCTGGAGGCAGTCGTTTTGTGACATCATTGAGCTGGGTGTTGGGGGCACACAGTCGGCCTGGCAGCTTTCTGCAGGGGAAGATTAATTTAAAATATGGAGTGGAGAGATTGCATAGAGGGTAGGATGCTTGCCTTGCACATGGCCAACCCAGGTTTGATCCCTGGTACCCTATATGCCCCCCCCCAGCATTGTCAGGAATGATCCCTGAGCAGAACCAGCAGTAAGTCTTAAGCATCACCGGGTGTGGCCTGAACCCCCCACTATACCCCCAAAAATGTGCCTGTAAGTACAGGGGTTAAGGCACTTGCCTTGGCATCCCAGTGACCCAGGTTTGATCCCCTGGGCTCATAAAGTCCCTTTAGCACTGCCAGGAGTTATAGAGTCAGGAAAACTTGTGAGCAGCACTGGGTGTGGCCCCCAAACCCCAAAACTAATAATAATA